CAAATAGGGTAGACGGGAGAAGAGGAAGAAGGAAAAAGGGAGGGAGGATGGAAGGAATTTAGGAAAAAAGAGAAAAGGCAAGGCAGGGAGGGGCCGTATTCTTATGGCAATGAACTGAAGAGTCTCACAGAATTCACACATTGAAAGGGTCACAGAAAAGGAAGTGGAGGATAGATTACTCTGGGCTTCAATCACGTAGAAATAATTCCAAAGCTGAAATCTGAGAATTGCCCTCCAACTGTGTTGCTCACTATCGCTCTTAGAGTATGTCCAAGTTCAAATGTAACAAGATACAGAATGAAGATTTTCCTATTGTTTCAGAAGTTTGGCTTCAAATCCGAAAGCTTCAAATCTAAGGACCAAAGTGGAGTATTATCCCTTTCCCCATTTAGAAAAAGAGGTCCTAGACACATCCCCACAGAACTTAACTAAGAAGTGGTCAAACTGCTTTCTTCAACTACAGAGTCCATCAGCCTGGAGGAGCTGAAGATGCAATAGAGGAGATTTTTCTTGAAAGACACTGGTAGGAATGAAGAGAGCTTAATGTTTTCTCTCACCTCCTGTTGGGATGCTTCCTTTCTCACACACACACACACACACACACACACACACACACACACACACACCCCTCAAGCCCTGAGAGAAACTCTCTTTGAGATTGGAATTATCTTCTCTAAGTGTCTGATACCTCAGCCTCCAGCTGGATATGTACAGAGCTGCAGAATCTCGGAGGCTTGTCCTTCAGAGAAGACTTGGGAAAATGTGACATGTTGACAAGTGTCTCCAGGACTTTGGGGCTACACCTGAAGAGAGAGACTGATGGCTGCCTCTCCTTAGAGAAGTCTGAGGATGGGAGGCTGGTTGGAGGAAACTAGAACAGAGGATGAGGAAAGAAGGCAGCAGTGGGGGGTAACCTACACTTCCAGAGTTTTCCTTTAGGCCAAGAGAAAGTTGCAGGAGGGACCCAGGCTCTAGCCATCTTGAAAGGATCCCAGCGGAGAGGGCAGCCCACAGGGTGGAGGGAACTACAGAGGTGTACCTCTGAAGCAGGAGAGGAGGAAGGTTCAGAGAACTGACCCAGAGGAAGCCTCACCTGTGAGGGATTTGCACTGTGGACATCCCCTGAGGGGCCTCCCCGAAGAACCCACCAATGCACCTAGCAGGAAAGCAAGCATTGGGCATCCACCATAAAGAGGGATGACAGCTGGACCAGGGCACAACAGTCAGGCAGGGGGCCCTTTGCTCCTTTCCTCTGATGCCTGGGAAAGCAGAGGCCATGCCTGGGTTAGGCCTTAGTTAGGGAGAAGTGATACTGCTCCGAATTTAGTGCCAGCTTAATTTTTTTTAATTAAATTTTTTTCATAGCTGGGAAAAAAAGAAAAAAAAAAAGACTGTTCTAATACCTAAAAGCAACTATAAAAGCAATGGGATCTCTGGTTCCTGGGAAGGGAACTCTAAAAGGCAGTAGGAGGAAAAAAGTTTTCCTGATTTATACCCTCAGGTCCCACCCATTCGCCCATTCAATAAATCATTTACATAACTTTAAGGATTCTGATTCAAAAGACAAAACACTTGAAACGTTACCAAAAAGAAGACTGAGAAACCTAGTAATATAAAGCACCCACATTCTCCTCAGAACTCTAATGTGTTAACTAAAAATTAAATCGATAATATTATCTCACACCTTATTTTTTCTCTCTCTCAGGTAAATGGTTGAGCTTCCCTCTTCCTTCTCCTTTCCCAGATTCCCCCATTTTTAGTTTACTTTTTCTAATTAGTTTAATTAGAGTAAAGAAAAAAAGGACAAATAACAAAGGCAGGAGTTTGTAAGTTTCAGAAAATTAGTACGGTTTCTAAATTCATAGGGTATAGTAGTTATAATAACTCAGTTACAGAGACATTTTCATACAACAATGAATTCATTCAATTTTGTATGCAGCCCTATATGCTGTGACTTGCTTAGAGGACTTACTCCCCAGAACAGAAGGTTTATAAGCCATATATGCATAGTGACTTAGACTATATCACTTTCAACAATGTAGCTTCATGAAATCAGCCCTCACCAAGCTCCTTTCTCAAAGCAGCTTCATATTCTTGCTGCAGTCAGCAGTGCCAAATGTTTCACCATTTGGATAAAAAATTCTCCACTGAGAAATCCTAAATCATTTGAAAATTGCTTTCATGACTATACCCTAAATTGGCCCTCCAAATTTTTTTCTCTCCATAAAATTGAGTTTTCAAAATGAGTGTAGTTTATTTTCTTTCCTAATGACTACTTCCAAAATCTCTGCATACAGGCTGTTTTAACTGGGTGGAAACAGGTGGCTGGAGCCGGAAAAACTGGGGCCTATGTCTCCAGCCCACTGAAACCTGTTTCCTCCCTGGCAGCAGCTATCCTTCTGAGCATAAACCATGAGTCCTCCGCACTAATACTACAATTAATCAGTGACTGCTTTTAGAGAAATGCATGTAAAATCTAGAATGCATGATTAAAATTAGACAAAAATTGGACAGTAGAGTAAATCAATTTTTATAGACTGTGTGTGACCCTAACTGGTAAAAACCTTCCAATCTACAAATTGTTCCAGAAATACATAAATGAATAAATAAATCAGTAGGTGATTTCATATAAATTTTCTGATACTCTTCTATTTACACGCACTACGTCACAAATGATTACAGATCTTAGTGCCTTAAAACAACTGTTTCATTTGAGGCAGTATTTTGTGGATCAAAGATGTAGGAAGGGCTTGTCTGGGCGGTTCTCAATTGGGTTGTCTCAGGAAGTGGCAGTGAGATGTGGGCTGGGATCAACCGAAGGCTCTACTGGGCTGGCCATCCAAGATGTCCCCCTCACAAGGCCGGCAGCTAAGCATTGAGCTGGGGACAACCAGAGTGCCAACACATGGCTTCTCCCACACGGCAGTCTCGGGGCTGGACCACATAGCAGCTACTTCCCCCAGAGTGAGCTTCCTAAGAAAAACTGGAAGAAGTTGCATGGCTTTTTCTGAGCAAGCTTCAGAAGTTCCCCAGTGTTGTTTCCACTGCAATCTGTTGCTTAGAAGCTAGTTACTATGGATAACCCAGATTCCACAGGAGAGGACATAGATCCCACCTCCCCATGGGAGGAATGTCAAAGAACGTGAGGACCTGTCTAAAACTGCCACGTTTCAGTTCATCTATTATCAGGAAATAATCCCCCCACCTGTTTGCTTACGAACTGCCCACCATGCAAAAGAAAACTTCTGAACTTACATTACCCTTTAAAAATCCTGGCTGAAATGTAAAGCATTTGAAAATACAAGATTTAATTAGTTAGTTTAAAGCAAACATTTCTGGTTTTGGTTTTGTTTGGGGGTTTGGGGGTGTCCACAGATATTCTGTTTATTTTTACCTGGATGGCATAGATGAAATTTAAACGTTTTTTAATGGGTTGGACACTGTTTCACTGGGACTGAGACATCTCTATGAATAATTCAACTAATGAATTTGGTTCTAAGACATGGCTTGGTTAGTATTTTGACACCATCAATTCAAACAAATTTTCCAAATAGAGCTCCATTCTACTAACTATAAAATAATGAATCGCTAGGTTACTGACAATACAAAGGTCAATTAAAAGCTTCTCTACCCCTTTGGCAATGTGCAAGTCATTATCGTTTTTCCACCGCTCTGAAGTTCTCTTGCTTTGCGTTATCCTTTTCCCAGGCAGACTAGAAACACTTGAGTAACTCTAAGATGAATTCATGATCTTTCCAGTGGAACCTCGAATCTAAGGGTTTGGGCATTTCTAAAACCCACTTTTCACCCAGAAGGAATAACATACCCCATGTTTCCTGTCCCACTCGCCCTGTATGTGGTTCACATATAACAGGTTGTGAACATCTTTGTTTCCTTGTCTCTCTCTCCTGCTGAACTATAAACGGTCTCAGTGGCAGGAATGGAGCTTTAGTCATGGTTTCATCTGCCAAGGCTAGAACATGGAAGATGCTTAACAAATGTTTGATGATTTTATTCTTTCTTTTTCTAGTAAAAGCATTGCTTTTGAAGCCTTAAAAAATGTGTAAGTATATACTGCTTATTTAAATGAAAGCTGGGGGCTTCCCTGGTGGCACAGTGGTTAAGAATCTGCCTGCCAATGCAGGGGACATGGGTTCGAGTCCTGGTCCAGGAAGATCCCACATGCTGCGGAGCAACTAAACCCGTGCGCCACAACTACTCAAGTCCGTGTGCCACAGCTACTGAAGCCTGCGTGCCTAGAGCCCACGCTCCACAACAGGAAAAGCCACCGCAATGAGAAACCTGCACACCACAACGAAGAGTAGCCCCCACGCACCACAACTAGAGAAAGTCCGCGTGCAGCAACAAAGATGCAACACAGCCAAAAATAAATAAAATAAATTTTTAAAAAATTAAAAATAATAAAAAATAAAAGAAAGCTGAGTACCAGGGTTTTTTAAAACCTTCCAAGGACTACTGTTTTGGTAACCTAAATCAGTGGTTCTCAATCCTGAGGCATATTGAAGATCTTAAAAAATTCCAAGTCTTAACCCCAGAAATCCTAATTTAATTGGTCTGTGATGGGACTTAAGCAACCATATTTTTTAAAACACTTTTTTAGCTTTTTATCTTGAAATAAGTTTAGACTTAAACATAAAATTGCAAAAGTAGGGCTTCCCTGGTGGCGCAGTGGTTGAGAGTCCGCCTGCCGATGCAGGAGACGCGGGTTCGTGCTCCGGTCCGGGAGGGTCCCGCGTGCCGCGGAGCGGCTGGGCCCGTGAGCCATGGCCGCTGAGCCTGCGCGTCTGGAGCCTGTGCTCCGCAACGGGAGAGGCCACAACAGTGAGAGGCCCGCATACCGAAAAAAAAAAAAAATTGCAAAAGTAGAACAGCCTCCCCAAATGTTAGCATCTTACAAATCTGTAGTATAATTTTCAAAACTAAGAAATGAATATTGGCACCAAACCTTTAATCAAACTACAGATGTGAATCAGATTTACCGGTTTTGCAGGAATGTCCTTTATTTGTTCCAGAATTCAATCCAGGATTCCGCACTGCATTTAGCTGTCATGCCTCCTCAGCCTCCTCGGGTCAGTGACAGTTCCCATTCTTTCCTTGGCTTTCATGACCTTAACATTTTTAAAGAGTACTGATCAGTTAACTTGTAGAATATACCTCAATTTGGGAGCATTTTGTTTTATGATTATTCAATTAAGGCTTTCACTTTTTGCCAGAATTCCACAGAAGTGGCCGGCCCTTCTCAGTACATGATATTAACAGGTACATTATGTTGACATATCTTATTTCTGGTGGTGGTAATCTTGGTCACTTGATTGAGGTGGTATCTGCTGGGTGTCCCCACTGTAATACTACTAGTTTCACTTTTGTAATTAATACATTTCTTGAAGAAAACACTTTGAGTCTATGCAAATATCCTCTTTCTCCACAAACAAGTCAACTAACTTCAGCAGGTGTCCCTGGATCTTGCCTGCAACAATTCTTACTGTGGTGTTCAGATGGTTACTTTCTATCTCCCTCTTTCCTCCCACACTTATTAATTGAATTCTTTTGTAAGAGAATACTATCCCTTCTTCCCCCATTTGTTTAACTAGTCATTTAATTTTATTTATGTTAGTATGGACATGTGCATGTAATTTTTTAAGCTCCCAGGTTATTCTAACTTGTACTCGGGATTGAAAATCCCTGCTACGTGATCTGTGAACCTGACTCCTGTCCGTCAGCTAACACGACCTTCATCCTTTCAGTGTGTGTGTCATTGATATGACCTGTTCCCATACTTCTACCAACTTCTCAGTTCCAACTGAGTGCATCTCTCCTCTGCCCTAGACAAGCTTGGCCACACCTTGAAACATCATGACTTAGAACTCTTGTACTTCTAAATTTCTGAGCCTAATCCCAAACTCGTAGTTATTTACATAGCCCACTTCTTCACACGTACTAAAATGAGCTTTGCTTTTAGCATAAACTCAAAACCTATAATATCATCCCCACCACATCACTTTCCTTTAGTCTTCATTAGCCTCCTACCTAATTATATGCATTAGTTAATCACTTCCATGTTACATTCTCTAGCAAGTCATGATTACATGAAATTTTAAACTCTTATAAGGAGGGGTTTTGTATCACTGCTGTTGTTATCTTCCTTTCACTGCATTACATTCAGTAGATATTCTTGTCCCTTATTACTCTTAAAAAGGAGACAGCAGGCCCAAAATGGACTCACTTGTGCTAAAGCCCACATCAGCAAACCAAGACTTAATACCTAATTACTGTCTCAACCCCGCTAGGAATATAACCTTGAACCAGTCAACCTGAAATTTTCTGGTCAGCACTAGTGAGGTTATCCACCCAACAGGCCCTTAGGAGGGTGACCTTGCCTGAAACAATGCATTCTTTGCTAATACTGTCCTTTTCCACCCCCTTCCCACCTTTAAGAACATTTTCTACAGCTTGGCAGACCTCTTTACTACTCACTAGATGGGATGCTGCCTGATTCATGCCTTGCTCAACAAAGCCAATTAGATCTTTAAAATTCACTCCTTTGAATTTTTCTTATTTAACACAACTTTAGTGTGAATCACAGACCCAAAACACTGACATCTCCTGGGTGCTTGTTAGCAATGCAGAATCTCGGGCCCCCCCTTCAAACCTACTGAATCAGAATAAGAATCAGTGTTCTAGCCCAGTGAGTCACAAATTTAATGTGTATATGAATGACCAGAGGATTTCACTAAAATGCAGATTACGATGAGTAGATATGGAGTGGGCCAGAGATTCAACATTGCTAATAAGCTCACAGGTGATGCTTATGCTGCTGGTCTCTGGTCTATACTTTGAATATCAAGAATCTAGTCCAGTCATTCTTAAAATGTTGTTGTAGAATATTATTATCAGTATCACCTGGGAAATTTTTAGAAATGCAAAATCTTGGGCTCAATCTCAGAACTATTGGATCAGAAATTCTGTGAGTATTACTCGGCATCTGTGTTTTAACAAGTCCCTTTGGTGATTCTGATACATGCTAAATTTGAGAACCAATGGTCTAGTCCGTTAGTTCTCAACGTTGGTTACACATTAAAATCATCTGGAGAGCATTAAAAAAAAAACACTGATGCCTGGTTCCCTCACTCATAGATTCTTAAAGTGAACACAGAATACGTTCACTTTTTTTTAATGTGTCCATGGACCACTTACTAACACAGACCATATAAAACAAGTCTCAATAAATTTGAAGGGATTCAAATCATACAAAATCTGTTCTATTCCCAGACTGTAGTTAAATGAGAAACGACTAAGAGAAAAAAATCTGGAAAATCCCCAAATATTTGGAAACCAAATACACTCTAATAATCCATGATACAAAGGAAGCATTGAAAGGGAAAGTATTTTGAAATAAAAACTTACCCTTTTTTGTAGATAAGGCATCTACAAAAAATTTACAGTTAATATCTTATTTAAATGGTAAAAGACAGAAAGCTTTTCCCCTAAGATCAGAAACAAGACAAGGATAGCCACTTCCATTATTCCTATTCAACATTGTCCTGAAGATTCTTACTAGTGTAATAAGATAAGAAAAAAAGAGACAAAAGTATCAATATTGGGAGAATATGGAAAGAAGTAAAACTGTCTTTATTCAAAGAGACAATTTCTATGTAGAATATCCTGTGGAATCTACCAAAAAGCTTCTAGAACTAATATAGATACCAATTTGATCTACACGTTCAACATAATGCAGTCAAAATAGGCCTTTTTTTTCTGTCGAATTTGACAAGCTGACTCTAAAATTTATATGAAAATTCAAAAGACCCAGAATAGTCAAAATTTTTGAAAAAATAAGAATAAAGATGAAGGAATTACACTACCAGGTTTAAAGCCTTATTGTAAAGCTATAGTAATCAAGACGTGTTGCATTGACATAAAAATAGGCAAATAGATCAATGTAACAGGATATAGTCCAGAAATAGATGCACACATATATAATCAGTTTATACTGATTCAGTAATAAGAGGAAAAATGACCTAATTTTTAAAAAGGTGAACAGACCCTCCACCAAAGAATATATATGATTAGCAAATAACCACATGAAAATATGCTCAACATCATTAGTCATTAGGCAAGCACAAATTAAAAGCACAATGGGCTATCACTATGAATCAATTAGAAATGACTAAAAATGTAAAAAGAGTGACCATATCAATTGTTGGCAAGGATGTGAAGGAACTAGAAATCTTATACTGCTGATAAAAATGTAAAATGATACAGCCACTTTGGAAAACAGTTTGTCAGATTCTTAAAACTTAAACATCCACTTATCATATGACCCAACCATTTTACTTCTAGACATTTATGCAAGAAAAATGAAAGCCTATTCCTCTACAAAGACTTGCTCATAGCAGCTTTATTTGAAATAGCTACAACTCAGATGTCCATCAATAAGTGAATTGATAAGCAAATTATGGTTTTTCCATAAAATGGAATACTACTTAGCAATAAGAAAAAGAAAATAAGGAATGAATACATGCAACCTCTCTCTGGTAAAAGAAGCCAGACCTAACAGAGTATGTACTATACGATTTTATTTCTATAGAATTATAGGAAACGCAGACTAATCTATAGTGACAGAAAACAGATGGGTGGTTGCCTGGAATGGCAGGAAGGGGCAGGAAGAAGAGTTTACAAAGGGGCATAAGGAAACATAGGGATATGTTCATTATCTTGATTGTGGTGATGGTTTCATAAGGGAATACATATGTCAAAACTTACTGTATGTTAATGATATCCAGTAAAGCTGTTTAAAAAAAGAAAGACATTACAAGAAAACAAAACTACAGGTCCAAATCCCGCATGAACATAGATTAAACAACAACCATAAACTAGATCCCAAGTTCCCTCACCCAGAAATTTGGATTTAATTGGTATGTGATATGACCTAGATATCAAGACTTTAAGTTCCCTGCATGATTTTGATATGCTGCAAAATCGCTGTCCTATTCCATGACCCTAAACTGGCCCCCACACCCTGGAAAACCCTCACTTAAATTAATGCCCACAGTTGCCAGGGAACCATGTTTGAAAAATGTGAGTAGGCAACGTAAACCCATCATTGCTTCCAGAAAACAACCTGAAGTACCTAATATTGCTGGCTAATCAGTAGTATCATCTCAGTAAAGTGAAGAATAACTTTATTTAAAAACAAACAAAAACCAGCAGTGGGATGCTAAGAGTTCAGTGCAAGTGCTAACAACTAAAAACACATGTGACCATAGCTGCAGCATGTAAGGAATAAGTAACTCAGAAAATGACGTTTTCTTAAATGCCCTGATGAACAGGGAAAAGTGAAAGGTACAAGATAATTTTAAAGAAAAAAAAGGAAAAAATGCAGAAGTTCTAGATAAGGGATCAGGTAGTGAAGGAAGTCAACAACTTGAATCACCCCTCTTAAAGGCACTCTGTCAATCGAAGTTTATATTTACTTTCTTTTATTTGGTGCCGTCTATGTTTTTTCTATTGTATAGTCTTAACTGTTGTTTTAGTTTTTAATCTACTGTTTTATTGTTCCTTTCTTCAAAAAGATAGCCGAGATTCTTTTCTTTCTTCTTATCAGCCATGTAAATAGTTGTGCAGTTTTATGTTTTGGTTTACTGGTTTATTAATTTTAAGGATTTAGGACTTCTTTTTGAACTCCTTTTACTGTAAGAATGTTTACATTCCTTTTCACCAACTACTGCTTATTGAAGGATGTGGGGAAATTAGTTCACTGGGCTCAATCCTCAGCTGTTTTCTTTCAGCAGCTCTGATAAGGCCCAACAGAATTCCTTTAGGAACAAGAAAAGAGACAGAAATCGATGATTTCAGTCATTTGTCCCTCCCTAATGCGGACTAACGTTTGTCCTGAATTCCACTGAAACACTTTGTAGATAATGATAAATCCGTATGATCCTAACTGAATACTTGGTAACCTTTCTATTTGTTAAAGGCAAGAACCCAAGAGGGAAGCAAGAACACTTCCAGATCATGTTCGACTTTCAACCAATGTGCAAAAACTAAAGGCGCTAAAATCCGTAAGTTTTGTACCAGTCTTCCTCGACTTACAAAGAGGTTAGGTCCT